ATACATACATACATACACATACATACATACATACATACATACATATATACACATACATACATATACATACATACATACATATATATACATACATACATATATATATATATATATATGAAATAATTGAAAAAAAAATCAGAACTCAATTAAATGCTTGTAAATCATAAATGCTTCCTTGTGTGATTTGTGTCGGTAGTCATCCACAAGGAAAGTTTTGGCCGGTTTCAATCTTCCTCTTGCGTCTTTAAATTTTGTTTATTTAAGACAAAAGTTGAATTTTTAATATTTTTATTAGTTTCTTTAATTTAAAAAATACATGATACGTTTTCATGTGTGAGAAAATTTTTTACATGCGGTGTTGACCGGATGTCCAGACGACACTTCGGATGCAGCCATGCATGTTGTGTGTCACAGGGCAATTCATCTGGATAATGGTCTGGACGTGCGGTGTTGACCGAATGTCTAGACAACAGTTAGGATGCAGCTACGCCCGATGTGTGTCACAGGACGATTCATCTAGATCGTCGTCCGGATGTGCAGCTACTGCATATAATAATTTATCGATATTAGTTTCTTAAATATTAGTTATCAAGAAAATGAAGAAAGAATAATCACTCAATGATATGCTTGCAAGTTATAATTCAAGTTATGCAATGAAGTCAATTTGGGCTATTTTCTCTCTCTATCTCTCTCACTTTACATATATATATATATATTTTGACAGCTGGGGCACGTTGTGGAAAGGTCAAACTAGGGTTTTTTTTATGGAAGAATTAATTAATGTAGTATTGTTTTATTGGCATTCCTCTCGTAAAAAAATATTAAAAATAAGAAAAAAGATATTAATTAAAAATATATATTGTAAGAATAGTTAATTAAATTTTTACATATCAAAAGGGTGCCTCCATTGGAGATCTAATGATGAAAAAGAGAAGAATAAAATGGTGAGAAATCTACTGTAAAGATATTGTGAGACCCATCAAACCTGACGAGCTGTCAATAAGGTTAAAACTAACCAAGTCAAAAGGCAGGCAAGATGCCGAGAGATCCAAGTTTAAGTGATTCGATTAGAAACAAGAAAAGTGAGCACCCGAGCCATCCACAGCAAGAAAAGCTGACTCGATTCGGTAAGCTATCCACAATTGAGCAAACTCAATGGAAAAACCAACTCCGCAAGATATCTTTGACCAGCCAACAAAGTCCTAGGACTCCTTACCATGGATCGAAGAAAGTCAACCAGACTAGATTAACCAACTAAATCCACCGACCAAGATCAACCGACCGAGCTGACCAAATATAGACAAATCACTAAGCTTAGTTGGTCAAGCCAGTAAACAAAATTGTGATAAGTTATCACTTGTAAAATACCAAAAATACCCCTGTACATACCATCTCAAAATCGTGATAAGAATGTAAATTCACTATTGTATCATAGACTTTATAAATAAAGGATACATTTGATGAAGAGAAAATAATACTGCATTTCACCCCCATCTCTCTCTCTCTCTCTCTCTCTTCCTCTTCATTGATTCCCTGCATTTCACCCCCATCTCTCTCTCTCTCTCTCTTCCTCTTCATTGATTCTCTATTCATCGGGTGTGATTCATGGATAATCTCAGATTCAATATCTTAAAAGATGCAGTGAGCGTGGGTCATACCCCCAACAAGAAGAGAAGTAATGTGAGGAGAAAATGGTCACATAATAGAGAGATCGACGACAACATGGAGCACACCAAAGAGTCTGTGGTTCGATTGATCCAAGATCTGCACGATCAAATTTTAGAAATGATCAGATGTGTGTTAAATCAGGAGCAAGAACAACAGCCTTGATAAGATGTTTCGTCGACAAATGGTAGGAGAGTCGCTCAGGCTTGGAGAGAGAGATAACAAAACCCAGTATCTTGACAACCCTGGGTTCGTACCGGTCGATCGACATCGAGCCGAGTGTATTGAAGCCTCTTACCAGCCATAAAATGCATTCTTCTAGCAGAACTTTGATGTCGAGCAACCAGATTAATTCAAGATTCCAATACTTGAATCTTATAAAGGACATACGGATCTGGTCGATCACATCGCCTCTTTCGAGCCGATTGTAAATCTTTTAAATATCAACTATGCATGGAGGTGCTGACATATTTTCACCATGCTGAGGAACCCTCATGTGATTCAAAGGATTACCACAGGGAGCGTTCACAAATTTCAAGGGAACTTTGGTCACACAATTTACTAGTGCTAAAAAACCCTAGAAGAGCTCACAGGGTCTTCTATGATTTCGTCAGGGACAGAGTGAGACCCAACGTGCCTTCTCACTAATTTCAAGAAAGAAATGATCGAGGTTCTTAATTTAGAACACATGGTCGCTAATGAGGCTATCACATAAGTATTGAAAGAAAGATTTTTTGTCAAGCGGTGGGATTACAGTGACCAAAGACACTAGCCAGGCCTCACGGGTGACCCAAAAGCTTGATGGAAGAATTAAAAACACAACTCTCTTGCACTGAAACAACCATTTGCAACTGGTCCTCCGAAGCCACTAACTAGAAATCTTGCGGGGAGTACTGAGGTTCCATTAGTATAACACATAACGACGACACATTAAAAGACAGGAAAAACAAGCAGAAGAGAAGTGCCCTCAAAACCTAGACCTCAAAATATATAAGAGAAACATAGGAAGTCCAACCATCACACATGAGTAAAAACAAAGAATAGACGATTTTTTTCGTAATAACTTAACAGTAGAATTATAATGACATAATAAACAAGGCAAATAAAATATTTTTATTCAAAAAATGACATTCAAACTACAACAATATGCTCGAAGTTCAGTTTGAGGAGGTAAAGTACTTTGCAAGAGGATTGAACCGCTTTTAGCCGAGACATCTCCTATTCTAAGCAGGCTCCAATACAAAAATTCCCCTTTGAACCAAAAATTACTCAATCAATCTGACTCGGCCTGTGCCTGAAAAACTAGAGATCTCTCCCGATTGTCCGACAGCTCCCGATGAAGGGTTGTCGCCATATCTTCCACCTTCTTCGTATGAGTCAGCAGCTCATGCATCTTCAGACCGTGTTGAATACTTGTTGATCGAGCAAAATAATTTTTAGTCTCGTCTAGAAGACTAGCAAAAGATACAAGGAACATTCTAGCCCCTTCAACATTTTTCTCACACGTCTTCGGGAGAGGTGTCGAATTGTCGAGGAGATTGACTTAACCAACCTCGCCTAACGCTTGGTCTATGTTCACTGGCTGCATGTCATAGTTGGATCATCTACACCGAGAGACATTGTAAATAAAAAAATATTTCGAAAGATCAGATCCGACAAATACGGATAAAATTCCATCGTATCCAGAAACTGAATAAAATCAGATATTGCAAATAACTTGGTAAGCTCAATATGGAGCACTTGTGAAAGTGACAGAAGAACGCTAGAAGTCAATTGAGTGACTTGGTCAATCAGAGGGTCTGAAACTACAACAAAAGGTTGAGTGGTTGGATCAAGTATCGGGCTGATTAACTATATGTTCCTTCGCGTCGTGCTAAGGATTGAATCCTGACTTGAACTGACAAAGTGAGTGCAATCATGTACCTCTTTATGATGGTCTTCTTCATTTTCTCACCCTATGGATGGTCCCATTCTTTCAATTTCTCGCATATGGAGTGAATAAAATTTTTGGTAGGGATATCATCATGGAATTTTGTCAATTTGTCCATCGCAACGCCTAAAACACGAAAGCCAACGGACTCTAACAGAGGAATGCTTGTATCATATTAGGCATGAGAAGGAGTCCCACGTTATTATTAATAAGAATCAAACTCTCTGAAATCAAGGGTGTTCGATCATTTGGTCATTAATTAAAATTGAATGAGATTTAGTTTTGCATTTAATTCTTTTATTTTTGTCGCAACGTTACTTTCAAGAAATAAGATAATCAATGAAATATGTATATAAAAAAATGCCTACATTGATCTTATAGGGAACTATTGGTCTAAAAGAGAAAAATGTGATGGAGCTAGATCCACTGCAAAGAGATGTTGAGACCCACCTAACCGAACGAGCCAAGCCATACGAGTCAAGTCAACCAGACCAAAACGAACCAAGCCAAAAAGCTGACAAGAAGGCAGTCGAGCAATTTGAGTGTAAGCCGTTCGACCGGAAACAGGACAAGTGACTGTCCGAGCCTATCACATAGTGGAGCCGACTCGATGGAAGAGCTACCTCCATAAGGTATCTTCCACTACCTGACAAACCCAAATACTCCTTACCAATACTTAGATAGACCACAAAAAATAGCTATATATTTACCCCTCTGAAAAGGATTAAACAATCCCTAACATGCACTTCTTGATGATCATATTGTCATTAATATCAATGACTAATAGTTTGTTGCTAACCACCTAATAAAATTAATTAAGAAAAAACTAAGCTTATAAGATTTTAAATAACATATTCAATCCATACATGTGTAAATATTAAAGCTTAGATGTTAGATATGTAAATTCATAGCGGTATATATGTAAAATAAAATATTTTCTTCGAGCCAACAAATAAAATACCATTATAGAATTAGGTCATATTGCGTTGCATGTTTATTGTAGGTCCTGCGTGGGCACGCTATTACATTGGTCCAATTCAGTTCTTGGTATGCTTTGGCGCCGTCGTTGGTAACATTCTACTCGGGGGACAAACCATGAAGGTAAATTCTATCTATATTACACACAAAATTTAATTTTTTATCGTATGTTTGCCAGTTCGAATCACACGTATTATTATTTGGGCTCAAATTTCTCGAAAAAAATAATTTTATTCGCATTTAATTTCGATTTACTTTGAGCTACGGGATGATATGAGTAAGCCACGAGTCGTTCCGAGCCACACGTGACATCAAAAATTAATGTTGTTCGTATATAAATTTTATTTTGCAGTCTATTTATTTGATAGAGAAGGCTGATGGAACAATGAAGCTCTACGAATTTGTGGCATTATTTGGGGCCTTTATGCTAATTTTGGCGCAGGTGCCATCATTTCATGCTCTTAGGCACATTAATCTGATCTCTCTCCTCCTTTGCCTGTCCTACAGTGCTTGTGCCACCGCAGGATCTATATACATTGGTGAGTGGGCATTTACATGCATGCCACCCAATTTCTGTGCATTTGCATATCTAACATTTAAGTTTTACTCTTTTTTTGCATTTATACCATCCAAATATTTCACATCATATCAGAAATGTTATCATTTTAACTTTCAAAAAAGTGAAATGCTTGTTATCATGGAAAAAGATTACATCAGGACTCCGAACGTAGAGCTACGTTCTGATTGGAATATTTCGCTGTGTTATAGGAATATTTCATCTGCGTTATTTGTAAAAAATAAAGTATTATTCAAGTATTATATGATGTTATTTGATTATTTTGCGGTGTTATTAGAATATTTCCCCGCGTTATTTCCTACATTACTTGATTTTATGTTGTGTTATTCGACATATTTCATGTGTTGTTTCAATTTCAACAATGTTATTGAAAGAACACAGCCCCAAATCAAGTAACGCGGGGGAATATTTCAATAACACTTCAGCGCCAAATCAAGTAACGCGGGGGAATATTCTAATAGCACAACAAAATAATTAATCAAGTAACGCGGGGGAATATTTCAATAATACTTTAACCCGTAAATTAATCGAATAACATTATATAATACCGAATAACACTTCATTTTTTATAAATAACACAGATGAAATATTTCTGTAACACAGCGAGATATTTCTAACTATTTCAATCTGAATGTAGCTCTACGTTCGGAGTCCTGATGTAATATTTCTATAGGTACGGTGGTGTGCATGTAAAAAATTAAAATTTATGCTTGTGATATGTAATACATGAGAAGTGAGTGGTTAATAAGTTCATGGTATATTTTTACATATATATCATCTTATATTTAAATGAAAATGTGTATTTTTTTTCTTAAAAGTTAAAATGATGATATTTTTAAAGTGATATGAATCTTTGGGTGATATAATTACATAGGAATTTGGTGATGTTTTTAATTTTAATTTTAATTAAAATCAGTGAAAAATTAAATAATATTTTATATTACATGCCATTCATCTTTTCAAAAATAACCTTATATTGGGAAATTTACATATATACAACATAATTTTTATATATTTACATGTATAATACCTAAAATTTGATACTTATACTTATAACAAATACTAAAATTGTGATATTTAGGAGTTTGATATGTAAATGCATAAAAGTTGTATGATATAGATGTAAATACTCATTTTGCAGGACACTCCTCTCATGCTCCCCATAGAGACTACTCTCTTCCAAGTGATCGGCAAGACCTTGTCTTTGGAGTATTCAATGCTATTGCTATCATTGCAACGAGTTATGGGAACGGAATCATCCCAGAAATCCAAGTAAGTGTCGAAATAGTTCACAAATTCTTTAAATTAGAAGTGAAATAATTCTCGCAGAGAACTATTAGAGCTTAATTTTAAAATTATTAGTTGTTATTTTGACACTTTTATAAACTCTATGACTAACTCTTTACTTTTTTTTTCTTAATATTTATATTTCAAATGAGTGGTCAGAGGCTGTTAGACAAGCCTCCAGTCACATCTAAAATGTCTGACAATTTAAGTACCACCTCCTTAAGACCAATTGCGCTAGAGAAGATTCAAACTCCCGACCTGAGGGGTATTATACCTTGGATGCCAACCAACTGGCTGGGATACATGACACATTTTTTTCAATATATATATATATATATAAGAGAATGGTCGGAAGCTATTATGTGAGCTTTCAATCACCCTCATGTGCCTAACTATTTGAGGACCACCCTCACTACCAGCAAATTGGCCAGAGGAGAATTCAAACCCATGACCCGAGGGGACTTACGACATTCAAAGAGGCTATATAAAATTAATTTAGGTTAAAATTTCCTTAATTAAATTTCATTAAGATACATTTTATAATTATCGACTTTGCTACATTATCATCATACTCTAACAATGCGAAAAATAAAGAATAAAAATAAATAAACAAATAAATAAAAAGTGGGAATGATTTACACGTATACAAGCCTAAATTTTAATTTTTACATATCACGTTGTTTTATACATGATAAAAGTTAAAATAGTGATATTTTTTGTGAGATGAGAAAAATTTTTATGGTATAAATGTATAAAATAAAATTTAAGTTTTAGATATGTATATACATAAGAGTTGGGTATTTATGTAAATAAAGTGTAAAAATAGTCCTTACACATTACACGAGGTCTTTTTAGTTTCATAGTTTATAGAAGCAACTAAATACTCAAATAGTTGGACTATTATAACTCAATTTTAAAATAGGTAAAATGGATGGCAGAGGGGAGTTTATCTGTAAATAGAAAAGTTTAGGTAGACTTTTATGTAATTGCCCCTAAAAAATGTGAAACTGTTGTACTACAGGCAACGGCAGCTCCCCCAGTGCAAGGCAAAATGTTCAAGGGGCTCTGCCTCTGCTACGCGGTGGCGGCGGCCACCTTCTTCACCGTCGCCATCTCCGGCTACTGGGCCTTCGGAAACCTAGCAGAGGGCACCATTCTCTCCAACTTCATCGCCCCCAATGGCCGACCATTAGTCCCCAAATGGTTCCTCCTCATGACCAACATCTTCACAATTCTCCAACTCTCCGCCGTTGCAGTCGTAAGCCCTAATCAGATCAGTTCATCTAGGGTTATACGATCCGACTGTATTCGACTAATTGTTGCTGCAGGTATACTTGCAGCCGACGAACGAGGTGCTGGAAGGGCTTTTCGCCGATCCGAAGAAGGAGCAGTACTCTGCTCGCAATGTGGTTCCGAGAATAGTTTTCCGGTCGATTTCGGTGGGGGCGGCGACGGTGATCGCGGCGATGCTTCCATTTTTCGGTGACATTAATGCGGTGATCGGAGCTTTTGGATTCTTGCCTTTGGATTTTGTGGTGCCGGCGGTGGTCTATATTGTCACTTTCCGGCCGTCGATGAGGGGGGCGGTTTTCTGGACTAATGCTGTGATAGCTGTAGTTTTTTCGGTGCTTGCCGTCTTGGCGTCTGTTGCAGCTGTGAGGCAGATAGTGTTGGATGCGAAGAGCTATAAGCTGTTTGCGAATGTTTGATGATTATGGGAAGGAGAAGGAGAGGGTGGAGAAGCTCCGATTTTGATTCATTTCTCTTCTGGCTGACACTCTCATAGCTCCAGTTTGTAAGGCCTCGTTTTGGAGAAAAATATTATGTTTTTCATCCAGATAGATGTGGATCGCATTGCACGGTACATTTGGTAGTGCGGTGAGATTCATGCCATCGTCCACACATTCAATTTACCGGACATAATATTTTCTCCTCATATTAATGATTTCAATATAATTGTCCATTGATATAGTCATTTGTTGGGAAGAATAGAATATGCTTAGAAAGTAGGGATAATTACATACAAAGCGCATGAAACATTGCTATTTAGAAAATCAACATTCATGTGATTTTTTGAACTATTGAATTGATGTATTTACATGTACCATAATTAAACCATTGGAAATTTGATTGAAATGAAAAATATTTGTTGGGTTTTATCGTGATTTTTGTTTTTTGAGTGATAATTTGAAAAATGGATGAAAGAGGGCGCTGTTTTGCAATTTGCTATGCTTTGAGCGCTGTGTATATAATTGCTTCTAAAAAATATAGTTATCATTGCATATTTGAACTTGTTAGGGTTAGGGTTAGGGATTTTTCTTTGGCATGCAAAGAAATTGGAGGTCTATATTAGACGCAAGATTACAAGGCCAATTTAATCATTTGTTGGTTATTATTGTGGGGTATAAATAAAGTTTATATGTTTAGGGTTATGTTATGTGATTGTTGTGTTGAATTTTATGGTTAGGGTTTGAGAGAGAATTGTCTGCCTCTAAAATTATAGGTTTATTATGTATTCGGAATTGTATAGTTTTGATTTGGTACCGTTGGAATAAAATTTATTATTGCTACCCTAATTATGGAGAAACTTTTCCCGTTAGTATCGGTCTACTGGCTGAGCGATGATAAGCTGGGGTGACCATTGATGAATTTCAGGCCCCCTCTATTCAATTTTGATGTGGTATCTTTTATCATAATGAGGCTTATCAAGTTGACCATTTATCTCATCTAAGAGAGAGAAAGGCAATTGAACGCTTTAACTGTACTTTTTAAATTTATATCACCAAAAAAAACAAAAAAAAGAAAGAAATGATCCCAAACAAGCGCTTAGGTTTTGAGAGACTATATTTTGAGGGAAAGTGAAATTTTTCAAATTTATTAGTTGAGTTAATTTGTTTTTTTAGGATAATAGTAAAATTTTTAGAAAAAATTCGTGTGAAGATAAGTCAACAAATACAACGAAGATCATAAACATGAGAAACACAAGTTTATGTGGCTCAGTAGTTTCACCTATCCAAAATAGCATAAAGATAAAATATTTTAGTGGCATTTAGATACATACTACCCAATTCCTATGTATTTGCATATCTAACACCTAACTTTACTTTTTTACTTTTATACCACCCAAATCTTCCATATCACATAAAAAATACTTCATTTTAGTTTTTAAAATGTGAAATACACCTTTTTATGCATAAGTAAAGTGACATGTATAAAAAAACGTAGTTTTTGTGTTAGATATGTAAATACATAAAAATGGAGTGGTATGTAAACACGATTATTTGCTACAAAGATGAGGGTTGGACATAAAGAAGAAGATATTGTTTCTATTATCAGTACTCTTTTATTTTTTACTTTTGTGTTGAATCCTTTTACGATGTATGGTTCATATTGTTCTTGAGCTAATAGAAGCAGGAAGAGACTTTGTTTTGGGAGGAGTATTGAAAAAAAAAAGAATGGGATGGATGTCCCCTTCTCCCCTAAACCTCAATTCTTAATTTGTAGTAAGAGATTGAACCAAAGAGGAAAAAGTGACCCCCCCCCCCCCCCCCAAAGTGAGAGGCGCTTGAATTCATATCTATATTCCTCTGGTCCGTCCTCTTTGTTGCCCCCCCTGGCAGGAGAAGAAAAAAAGGAATAAAAAATAACATTGACCGTGTGATATAAGACCCATCCATGATGTCCTCGCGAGATAGTGTTGTAGTTGTCAGATGACTTTTAAATAGACACGGATGCATGTCTGTCATTCGGTGATGTTCTTCATGCCAGTTGTTTGCAAATTTTGAGGATAGTTATGGAGCTCTCGACATATCACTTCATCAATTAAACCTTGCAAATTAGTTTAGGAAGGGCATATTACTTCGACAAGCAAGCTCTGCAGATCAATTTGGCAAACAAGCTCGATAGGTCAGTTCAACAAGCAAACTCTCCAGGTGAAGGTGATGAGCTTTTTTGTTAAAGAGAAGATTGAACCTTCTTGGCCAACGAAGTCTGCTAATGTATGCTTCGACCCGTAAAAGCTGCTTATGAGTATACAATATGAATCCAAACTAGAGCTTATAAATGCCATGTCTGAAAGCTCTTCTTGATGTAATTGAAATTACTAACTTCTCTTTCTTTTCGAAGAATCGGAACATCTAACTTTTGAGATCACTCTAAAACTCACTTCTCTTGCTCTCTCAATTGGCAATCCCCTTTCCTCTCTCTTTCCCCCACTTCTCTCTATTTTAATTGGGGGAATTTACATACATACCACACACTTTTTATGGATTTACATATTTCACACCTAAAGTTTGATATTTACATTTATAACACCTTGGTGATATAAATCTATGTTTATAAATATGTGCATTTGATTTTCAAAAAGTTAGTAAAAGTGATGTTTTTGATATGATGTTGCAGATTTGAGTGCTATGAATATAAATATTAAAGCTTAAGTTTCATATGTAAACACATAAAAATTGTGCGGTATGTATGTAAATGTCCCTTTTATTTGTTGTTATTGTTGTAGCATACCAAATCTTTTTTTGTAAGGCTCCATTTATAGTGGCAACAAGGAATTAGTTTATAGAGATGAATCTATTATAAACTTTTCCAGATATTAAAAGTATTTCAAAGTCAGCAAAACATCACACAAATGTTATTCAAAATTTTAACATCAATACAAAATATCTAAACCATTCTCTAAGACCACAAAAATAATCCAGTCAGAGATTTGTATTTAAGTAGATGATTCGGCCATATTTTATCTAGTTATTCTGATTTTGTTCCCATACCATGTTGCATTAATCAAAACCCCATTTCTTCTTATTTTTCATCGATTACACCGTTAAGCAACATACTTTCTTACTTTTCAAACCATTTCACACTCTTAAAGGAGAACATTTCGAGAACATTTCTTTTACAAGACACTTTTACAAGACAAAATGAATTTATGCAATAAACAGCACTATAGCTCTGAAATATATACCTGAAATATTCACTTTTTTCCATAAAACTTAACTATTCTGCAAATTATTAATCTTTCATTTTTCTCATCAAATTTGGGACATTGCTTCTTCCTATTGCCATTTTCAATACGAAATCAAACAGAACGATGCTTACCAAATTATAATCGATGCTCGATCTTCCTTAAATCGGTTCAGCTTGAGCTTTTCACTAGAGGAATCAGCGACTGCACCACATCGGTGATGAGGGGCCGATAATCTGCTTCGGATTGAATACACACAGCAGCAATGGCAGCAACCTATTTCAAATGTTGAAGGAGGTAACGGTGGATAAACCACAGCGAGTTTAAACAAATTGAATGTTGTTTTCTAGTTTTACCTGAATCAGTTCTTTCTTTGAGTACTGGCCTTGAAGAGCTGGATCCACCATTTCCACCACTTTTTCTCTATTTGTTAGTCTTGGTAGAGCCTAGAAAAGAAGATGCCATTTATAGTTGCAGATTAAAATTGCTTCCATATTTTTTTTGCATAATCATCTTATATTTAAATTTTGGAAGTTTTAGGTACATACCACACAATTCCTATGTATTTACGTGCATACGACATACACATTTATAGGACTTATCCATGAAAATGTGTATTTCATTTTTTAGAAGTTAGTAATAGTTGTATTTTTGGTGTGATATGAAAGACGTTATTGTTATAAATGTAAAAATTCAAAGTTTAGGTGCTAGTTATGTAAATACATAGGAATTTTGTGGTGTGTATCTGAATTCCCCTTAAAATTACATTCTTTTCTCAACATAATCATATCATACTTAAACTTTGGTTGATTTACATGCATACAACACAATTCCTATGTTTTTCCATATCTAATTCCTAAACTTCAATTTGTTAACATTTATAGCATTTCATCTTTGCATGACAACGTGCATTGAAGAAAACAGTTAAGAATAGTGATATTTTTTACGAGATATGAAAGATTTGAGATTATAATTGTAAAACTTCAAAGTTTAGGTGCTAGATATGTAAATACATAGGAATTGTGTGGCGTGTTGTAAGTGCCCCTTAAATTTTTGTGAGAGCTGGATCCACCATTTCCATCACTTTTTCTCTATCTGTTAATATTGATAGAACCTATACAATATGATGCCATTGATAGTTGCAGATTAAATTTAAATTAAATTTACATCATTTCTCAACATAATGATCTCATATTTAAAATTTTGAAGATTTCAATTCCAATGCATCTCCATATCTAACACGTAAACTTTGATTTGTTATCATTTATAGCACTTCAACCATGCATAAAAATGTTTATTTTAAAAAACGTTATGGGCATTTACATGCATAGCACACAAATTCTTTTGTATTTACATATCTCACATCTAAACTTTCATATTTGCACGCATAGAACTCAAATGTTTAATACCAGATCAAAAATAACACTTACCACTTTAAAAGTGAAATCCACCTTTTCATGCATAGGTTTAACGCACTGAAGTGCTATATATTTAAATATGAAAGTATAGGTATGAGATATGTAAATACATTAGAATTGTGTGCTACATATGTACATTTCTCAAGAAGTTAATAATAGTGGTATTTTTGATATGATGTGAAAGATTTCAATGTTATAAATGTAAAAATTCAAAGTTCAAGTGTTAGATATGTAAAATACCTAGGAATTGTGTGGTGTGTATGTAAATACTACATAAATTTTGTTAGCATATTTTTCATGATTTAAATGCTGAGAAGTTGGTCAGTAAATGACAGTAGTTATTCACCACGGAAAGGTTTTAGTGTTATAAATGTAAAAAATCAAAGTTTAGGTGTTAGATATGTAAATACATAGGAATTGTGTGGTGTATATGTAAATGTCCTTAAAATTTTGTCAGCATTTTTCTCCTGATTTAAATGCTGTGCAGTTAGTGAGCAAAGGATAATAGTTAGTCACCCAGGAAACAAGAACATGTTCTCCTTGTGGTCTTCTGATATCAACAGGTACTCTTCCTGTCAAAAGCTCAAGAAGAACAACTCCATAGCTGTAAACATCTGATTTTGTTGTTAGCTTTCCAGTCAATGCATAGCTGCTGTATGAACAGATCGATCAGGTATTCTTCGATAACTTAGTAGCCATTATTCATATTTATTTTGAAATATTGGATGAAAAGCAGAAAACTCACTCCGGGGCGACATATCCGGTGGTGCCGAGGGCCCTAGTCTTTGCATGGCCGGAATACGATACTTTAGCACCGAAGTTATGGTCTAATAGTATGTTGCTGCTCTTGAAGTCTTTGTGAATGATGGCGGGGACGGAGTGTTCGTGGAGAAACTCGAGGCCTCGAGCGCAGTCGAGGGCGATCCTTAGACGTGTCTTCCAGTCGAGCAGCCGCTGTGGTTTATCCATCTGATCTGTTGTGGAATGGAGATGGTGATGCAGGCAGGCGTTGGGCATGTCCTCAAAGACAAGCAGGCGGTGGTGCTGATCGGCGCAATAGCCAAGCAAGCCAACCAAGTAGCGAGATTGCAGTCGGCTCAACAGGTCCACCTGCATCAAGTTTAACAAGGTAGTTTTACAGGCATAAGATTCAATTCTTATGTATTTGCATATCTAACACGCAAATTTCAATTTTTACACATTTAACTTGCTACCTTAAATATACATGAAATTGTGAATTTCATTTTTTTTAAAGTTAAAATGGTGATATTTTTTATGTGATATAAATGATTTAGGTGTAATAACTGTAAATAAGTAAAGTTTAGTCTTAGATATGTTAATAAGTAGGAGTTGGATGATATGTATTGACGCCAGGGCTATGGAGGACCAACCGGTCCTCAAAGGAAGGGGGACTGCCGCTCCTCTCTTCCCCTTCTTTTTCCCCTTTCCTCTCTTCCTTTTCCTTTCTTTCCTTCCTAGCACTTTCCTATTTGAAAGTCTTTCCTAAAATATGAAATCCTGATTATATTTTATTCTGCTTTCTTATTTTAAAATTTTTCTTGTTTTAAGTCCTTTCTAAAATCTAAATTTTGATAACTTTATTTACCCTCCCCTAAATCTTATTTTCCCTCACTTTATTTCCTTTCATAAATCTGAAATCCTGATTTGATTGTTCTTTGTTTACCCTTCCCCTAAATCCCTCACTTTATTTCCATTTCAAAATCTAGCCACCATAGCCCCCTCTTCCACTGTTGCCAGCACTGCCTCTTCCCTCAGGACTCCTTCCAACCGCTGTCTTCCTTGTTAACCACATACCAACAACCTTTCAAGCTCCTCCCTGCCCCTAGCCGACCCTCTTGGCAGCCCGCCAGCCTTGCAACCCTCTTTGGTTCCTTCCCTGTAGACCACAACCTCCGTTGTCCTTGACAATGTCGCTCCAATAACATACCGACAAACTCTCATTGTAGGCCACAACGATCGCTACCCTTCCAAGCTTCCTCCAATTGCGGTTCAACACCCATACCCTCACTGATTTGCTGCCCATCTCTTCCACAGTAGCGAGACACCTCTCTGGCATTCATCGCAACTGCTTGTCTTGCACCACCTCTCGGGCTCCCTCATCGTCAGGCTTCTTGTGTCTTCTTTTGTCGAGTTTTTATTTCTAATCATTTGTTTTATGCTTTTGTTTTGTATGTTATCCTTCTTTCTTTCGAGTCATTGTTGTAACCGTCTTTTAAGTTATTCATAAATTTGTGTCCTGTGTTGTGGTTTGGGTTAATTCCGATATTATTTGATATCATAGCTGACCCAACCCTAGTCCCATCCCAGCACCCGCCCCTACCCAATTCACCACAACAAAATATTTTTTTTCTTTTTTTTTGTGTTATTTTCTTTTTTTGTTCTTTCTTTTCTTTCCTTCCAAATATCTCAAACACTAACCATGCCACCAAGAAGATTTATGCCCGAGCCTACCTGGGACAAGATACGATAAGAGCTTCATCTTCTTCAGCAGAAGCTTATGGATATTGAAGAGGAAATCCAGTGGGAGGTTACCCTCTGCCGTGATCTAGAAGGTCGAAGGAAAGAACGAGAAAAATCTGAAGATGAAGCGAGAAACACAATGTCAGTTCCTATCAACTTACTACAACCAAAAGTTGCAGTTCGAAGTGGAGGGACCGTAGCTCCAAACGACCCCTCTTGCTAATATCCAACAAAACCAATCTGCAAGTCTGTAATAGCCAGGAGATGTTGCAAGTGCCATGGATTTGGACACGTTGAAGCAGAATGCATAATTAAGGGAGTGATTTACTTTACCGAGCAGGGCTTCATTGAAAAGTTGGGTAAAGACACTGCAGCCACTGAAGAACAGTTCGGATGATAATTTTCATCTGATGACGTCTTCTCCCGTAGAACTCCCGTGTTCGTGGATACATGCAATGCCTTTCCTCTATGTGCTCAAGAGGAACATGCAACTTTTGATGAGATTGTGGTTTATGCTCTCCTAGAAGATGAAAAACTTTTTATTGAGACATGCACAAATCATGCAGATCCGAAGATGTCAGAACATAAAATTTTAGTGCATGTTCTTAATAACGACTAGCATCATGGGCGACTACTCTTCCAAACCTCATCCCCGAGTGTTCCACATGAAGAGATGAAATGCTAGTGTGAAGCTCTTGTTCTTGGAACACATCAGAAGATGTCGGTTCTCCAAAACTTAAAAGAGTCAGAGGGAAGACCCAAAAGATAACAAGAATTACCCATCAACCAAACTCTTGCAAATCCTCAACCTCGTTGAGACCCAACTTGTCATAGATGAGAAACATATGAGATATTTACTTGTTCAGAATTTGGCTCAGGAGAACATACATGGTAGTGCACCTTCGGCTCAAATCATGCCAAACTAAAACGGATCAATAGGTAGGTATGCTCGCACATGAGGAAAACTCCTCAGATGCTTTGGTAGACGGTGCAGTCGCCAGTGGGGTCTAGGGGTGGCTGACAACAACATGGTAGCTTCAACCTTTGAGTCGAAGCTCCTCCAACCTCAGGAGACTCACGCGGGGGCTATGGAGGATCGATCTGTCCTCAAAGGGTGTGGGGCTACCACTCCTCTCTTCCCCTTTTCTTTCCCCTTTCCTTTCTTCCGTTCTCTTTCTTTCCTTCCTAGGACTTTCCTATTTTAAATCATTTCTTAAAATCTGAAATTATGGTTATATTTTATTCTTATTTCTTATTTTAAAACCTTTCCTATTTTAAGTCATTTCTAAAATCTGAATTTTGATTACTTCATCTACCCTTTCCCTAAATCTGATTTTCCCTTACTTTATTTCCTTACCTAAATCTGAATTTCTGATTTGATTCTTCTTTCTTATCTTAAGTATTGCCTAGAATAAAGTCTCATCATCATTATAAATAAGGATGGTGTGCTTAGAGTTAGGAGTCTTGTTTTTTATCTATGAATTCAGGTTTTAGCCTTGATATTTTCCCTTTGAGGTCTGTATCCGACGTCGAGGTAGTGCTATAGTCGTCCCTCGTCCGAGGTGGTGATCATCTTCAAGGGTCTGAGTGGTGCTCCGGTCGTAGCTCGACTCTGATGAGACATTTATCTTACCATATTTTCGTTTCTCTGCTGCTATTTCAGAATCCAGCCACCACAACCCCTTCTTCAACTGCTGCCAACCACCTTCTTACTTCCGTCCAGCCACCACAACCCCTCTTCCACTGCTGCCAGCATTGCTCCTTCCCTCAGGACTCCTTCCAACTACTATCTTCCTCGTTAACCACCTACCAACAACCCTTTGAGCTCCTTCTTGCCCCTGGCCGACCCTTCCAGTAGCCTGCCAACCTTGCTACCCCTTCGGTTACTTTACTGTAGACCACAACCACCGCTGTCCTTGACAATGTCGCTCCAACAACAGACCAACAAACTCTCCCTTCCCTGTAGGCCACAACCATCGCTGCGCTTCCAAGCTTCCTCCAGTTGCGGTTCAACGCCCCTACCCTCGTTGATTTGCTACCCATCCCTTCAACAACGGTAAGACACCTCTCCGGCCCTCACCGCAACCGCATGCCTTGCATCACCGCTCGGGCTCCCTCCTCACCAAGCTTGTTGTGTCTTCTTTTATCCAGTCTTGATTTTTAATTCTTTGTTTTAAGGTTTTATTTTGTGTATTGTCTTTCTTTCGTTTGATTCATTATTTTAACTGTCTTTTAAGTTATTAATAAATTTGTGTCTTACGTCTTGGTTTGGGTTAACTCCGGTATCATGTATGTGTTAAATTTTTTAAGATGTAGGGTCCCATATTATTTGTGAGTTTATACAACCCGATACAGATCCTGTTTTTAGGAGGAATGTATGGGAGAAAAGGATGGATGTATGGCTAAAACTCATATTTCTGTATCTATATTTTTCTCAAAATCCCCAGGCTATCGGGAATGGCTTAAAGAAACGACCTCTGCTTCTCGGTAATGAGAGAAATTGGTTAAGTCAGGACCGACCTTCGCCTGGGGGTCCTTTGTGCCTCACATTTAGGGAGTAATTTCTTAAGTTTCAGGATGAGTGCAACCAATTTGTCCTCGAGGCCTTAGCTCTCATATAGGAAGGAGTTTATGTATGAGTAAGATGCCAAGTGATTGGAGGAAGTGGTTCTCCTGCATTTGTACGAAGAGTCAGTGGAAGATCCCAACCGAACTAATGTAGTTCGAAGGAGAGATGCATAGTGCGCTTCCGATGACTCCTAATGAGGATGCATGTTACCAGGCTCTGAAGAATATAGAGATTGATGTCTAGCGATACACTTTGTCTGGATTCTTGAAAAAAATGTTGAAGGGTAAGCGTCTTGCTTTTAACTCTTCTCACTTTAGAGTTTGCGGTACTTGTGGTTTGGTGATGATTAATTGGCCATCCTTCTATTTTAGTCACGAAAGTAGGTGAAGAATATAGAACGACTGGCTCCATATCTGATCATATTGCGCCGATTATGCACCTCCCACTAGCTCTTGATGTTGTCGGTCCTACAACGCTAATGGGTAGTGTTGCGGAGGAAATGGAGATTGAAGAAGAGGATCCTGCTTTGCGTCGTCATCGTTAGGTAGCATGATCCTTCAGAAAGACCAATGACTGAGTTCTGATAATAGAAGGGCACACGACAGATCCTTCAGAAAGACCAATGACTGAGCCTGCCGCGGAATGCGAAGGGTAGGCCATTTTAGACAAAAATGTGATTATGTTGGTACTCACCCCAAGGAACAATGAACTGGCCACGAGAAGAAGAGGCGAATGGTTCTGTCTGAAACTACTCCTTCTGCAATAGTTTCTTGGGGCACCGCCGACATGGGGGGTCAAATTTTCCTTGCAAATCATGATAGGACCAGAGTGTTGGTTGATTTGAGCTAAGAATGGCATCCTACGAGAGGATACTTGTTGAGAGCATTTCACTTCGGTCCGGTGATCAACTCGGGTTTACTGAGAGAAACAATGCAAAGTATTAAGCTCGAAGATCACTGATGGCAAATATGCTGACTGAGTTGCAATGAGCGTATTCTTTCGCTCTGGCTCAACACTCTTGCAAAGGAGAAGAGAGTTTGATTCAGTCCGTGAGGGAATTGAAAGTAGAGATTGCACTCCAAGATGTTGCACTGGTTGAGCAACAAACAAAAAATGGTGGCACGCAGATAGGAAAAAGGTCGGCTACAAGCTAAAATAGCCGAGGAGGCTGAGTGGAGAAGGGCTCTCGAAAGTAAGTAAAGGAGCTGACTGGCGATAAGATGAGGCTCCAACAAGAGGTAATTCCAGGTGAATTGACTTTTAATGATTATGAAAAACAACATCTCTTATTTATGATGCAGATGAGAGGGCAAAAAAACTTGTTAAAAGAAATGTTGCATTGGATGAGTAGATGAAGAGAGTCAAGAGAGTTGTGAAGAGGTTGGAATGCTTCAGGGAGAAGTTGCCCAATTAAAGAAACAGTTGAGGATAGGTGAACTAAAGAGTTCTTGAGTACCATCACTAGTATTCCATCGTATGATGACCTCTGTACTCATTATTATAAGTTATATAAAAATGTTAATGTATAAATATATTTATTAAAAATTATAAAATATAAAATATGACTTAAAAGTTGATATATAATAGAAAAAAAATATTGTACTATACATAACTTGAAAGATATATATTTAGGGTAACCTGCATATTATAATTTTGAACAATTTTTAATATTTTATTGTAATAATTAAAAACTTAAAAATTGCAAAAAAACCCTTCAAATTTACTTCAGTGCTTCGAAGCGCCTCTCAGTGAAGCGAACCTGGCTTGACGGCTCAGCTCTTCGCTTCATTTTGCTCGTGAAGCGCACTTAACATTGCATGCATGCCATACAATTCTTATCTACTTACAAATCTACCACCCAAAATTTAATATGTACACTTATACCACCTTGGCATCATAAATCTCTGCATGACAATGTGCTTGTGGTGTTTTTGATGTGATGTTAAAAGATTTGAGCGGCACACATGCATATATATATATGAATGTTTAGGTGGTTAGATATGTGATTAGATAAGAATAGTGTGGTATATATGTAAATGCCCCTTTATTTTATAAACATTGTTATGATTAATGCACTTCAGATTATCAGCTGTATATATAACCCATTATATCTCCATATTATTATGTGAATTTATATAGCATTTTTCTAAAGAATACCTATCTTGAACTGAAATTTCACAAATAACCAAAAAAAAAAAAAGAATTAGCTCTTACCTCCATTCTGAATTCTTTTTCTTCTTGCTTTCCTGCAACTTGCAGAAGCTGGACGGCAGCTGCAGTTCCATCACTCATAACTCCTCTGTACAGCACCCCAAGTCCTCCATTACCAATGAAATTTCTCTCACTGAAGCCATTGGTGGCCATCTCAAGCTCCCTGTAAGTAAAAACCTGAACCCCCTTTCTTCTCCCTTGTGGTGCAAAGCTCAATTTACTCCCATAGATGCAACTCCTCACATCTTTCTCCAAACAAATAAAACTGGATCAGTATGTCAGAGAGCGCAGGGGTGTTAAAAAGTAGGGATAATTATATACAGATCATCCGAAACATTGGTATTTATAGATTAACCATTCAGGTGATTTTTTTGAACTGCTGAATTGATATGTTTACGTGTGCCACGATCGAACTATTGATAATTTATATACATAGCATACAATTCTTATGCATTTACATATCTCACACCCAAATATTCATATTTACTCACGTACCACTTATTTCTTTCTCATCACATCAAATCTACCACAAATTATTACTATTCATGACTGAAATTCACCTTTTCATGCATAGATAGAGTGGTACGTGCGTCAATATGAATATTTCAGTGTGAGATATGTAAGCGCATAAGAATTGCGTGCTATGTATGTAAATGCCCCAAATGAAAAATATGGGTTGGGGTTTTCCATTGAATTTTGATATTTGAGTGAGAATTCAAAAAAATGGATGAAAGAGTTGGGTTAATTTGTAAATAGCAAGTTTCAGATGGTTTGTATGTAATTGCCCTAAAAAATATTAGAGAAATTTATATGCATACCACACAATTCTTATGTATTTACAGATCTAACATCCAAAATTTTATACTTGCATTCATGATACTTTGGTGTGATAAACCAATATATGAGAAGATGTATTTTGTTTTTAAAAAATAGGTGATAGTCAATCCTAATAAAAATAATTGGTCTTTGAGATTAGATGATGCATTATGGACTTACATAACTGATTATAAAACACCTATAAGAATGCCTCCATACTGGCTCATATTTGGCAAAGCTCGTCACTTGCTAGTGAAATTAGAACATAAAACTTATTGGGTTGTTAAATAGTTCAATTACAATATGAAAGATGAGGGTGTGAAAAAATTACTACAATTAAATGAACTCGATGAGATTAGAAAAGAATCTTATGAAATGCGAGAATTTATAAAACGAAAATGAAGAAATGACTGCCAAAAGATTCTTAGAAAAGATTTTGAGCCTGGACATGAGGTTTATTTTTTATTTGATATTAAAAATTTGATCGCTAAATTATGTAAATATTGAAGATAGATACGAAAATAAATTAAATTATGTGGTATGTGTAAATGCCCCAAAATATTGATATAAAATATAGTTAAAATTTTATAAAATTCAAGAGTTAAAAATGCAAATATTTTAAGATAATCCAAGAAGCATGTCTCTCTTTATTATTGCAAGTGATTTCTTATCTGAAACAAGTAAAGCTTAAGCTAAGCAGAGCTCAAACTTTCTATTTACATTCAAACCCAGAAATTCTCATGTATTCATATATCTAACCTCCAAACTTTAATTATTACATGTATATCACGCAAATCTTTCATATCACATCAAAAATACCTCCATCCTAACTTATAAAAAGTGAAATATACCTTGTTCATGCATAAGGAGGGTGACAAGTATGTAAAAAACTGAAGTATAGGTGTTAAGATATGTAAATACAAAAGAAATAAGTGGTATGTATGCAAATCTTTACAACTCATACCTGGACTATATCCAAGTCCATCTATCTTGCCATTAGGACTGCATCTAGTAACCTGCTTAATCTCATCAAAGCTGTTCTCCCTGAAGCTGTTTCCACCATTAGCTTTCCCTCTCGCTCGACGCAGAACAAGCAGAAGCAGGAAGACTAGCACGAGAACCCCGCCAGCAACGACTGGCAAGACGACAGCCACAGCACATTTTGATCCACGAACTGATTCTCGCTGCTGTTGTTTGTGGCTGCGAAGGCGAAGAAAAGGCGGCGGCGGCGGTGCCGGCGGTGCCGGCGGAGCTTCCCTCTCAGATTCCATGGCTGCCATGAAGGAGAAGAGAAGATGAAGTTGGTCCTCAAAGAGCACTACTGGCTCTCGTGAGCTCCTTTTATGATAGTGTTGTTTTGGGTGAAAGGTAATGTTGTTGGAAGCTTCTGCAGTCACCAATGGCGATGGGCTGTGGATGAAAAAGCTTAGCGCTGCTTTTGTTGGGAGTTCTGTACAGTAATAACGGCAAAGCAACTGAAAGTTATTGAAGTCATATGTCTTTTAGTCTTTTTTATCATTTTGTTGGTGAAGATATAGATTTTTTTTAAGGGATAATTACATACAAACCACCGGAAATATTGATATTTACAAATTGGCCACTCGGTGATTTTTTTGAACCACCGAACTAATCTATTTACGCGCAACACGCTTAAACCATTGAGAATTTGATAAAGTTTAAAAATATGGGTTGGGATTTTACTACAAATTTTGATATTTGATTGAAAATTTGAAAAATGGATGAAAGAGGGTGGTTGATTCGTAAATAGGAAGTTTCGGGTGGTCTGGATGCATACCACTAAATTCTTATGTTCTTACATTTGGAACACCTAAATTTCAATTTTTACATACACGCCCCTTAATATGCTTGAAAAAGATGTTTTTTACCTTCTAAAAGTTAAAATGATGGCATTTTGATGTGGTATGAAAGATTTAGGTGGTATTAATGCAAAAATATGGTTAGGTGTCAGGTATGTAAATGCATAGAAATTGAGGGGTATGCATGTAAATAACCCCCATTGTTTTTCTCATGGAGTTCATGTGGGAAGGTCAACTTTATAATTAAAGTATGAGTTGGTTAGGGAGTTCTTACCAAGGTATAGTAGCATTAATTTTTATGTCCCAACAGGGAAATTTACATACATACCCCAAAATTCTTATGTATTTACATACTAACACCTAAAATTTGATATTTATAGTTATAACCTTGGGTGTTATAAACCAATGCATGAGAATGTGTATTTCACTTCTAAAAGACTAGTAAAAGCGGTATTTTTTATATGTTGTTAACAATTTGAGGGTTTTGTATGTAAATATAGAAGTTTTGGGTTTAGATATGTAAATACATAAGAATTGCATGATATTTATTTAAATGCCCATTTAAAATATTACCAACAAATCAATAGATATGACGGCGCATTTACATGTATATCTTGCTATTCTCATGTATATATATATAATACTTAAATTTTATATTTACATAAGTATCACTCAAATTTTGATCAAAATTTTTATTTGTTCTAACTCTTTAAAAGTAGAAAAAATGTTACATCAGGACTGCACACGTAGAGTTGCGTGTTGTTCAGGTGATAGAAAAAAAAATCTGTCAGATAATACAGAGGAATATTCCCCCCGTATTATTCAAGTGTTATTGTATGTTATTAATGTGTTATTGTGTTATAGGAATATTCATGATGTTATAATAACACAATAACACATCAATAACACTTGAATAACACACAATAAAACCTGAATAACACGAGAAGAATATTCCCTTGTGTTAACGGATAAATTTTATTTTATTTTATTTTTGTCACATCTACGTGGTATTTTTTTCTTAAAAGTATGGGTTATGCCATAAGTGTTATGAGTGTAAATATTAAATTTTGAGGAATGCATAAAATAATAATGAGTATATGAATTTAAAATGATAAATAAAATGAATATAAGCACAACTTTTGAAAAAGAAGAGTCCAATAATATTAATAATTTGGGGTAATTAAATAAATAGCACTCAAAATAATGCTATTTACAAATCTAACACCCTCTTTTATTTACCAAATTCTCAATAGTTTGATTGTGGCATGCAGAAATGCATCGTTTTAGTAGTTCAAAAAAATCAAACGTGCGCTAATTTTGTAAATACCAATATGTTTAATGTTGTGTATGTAATTATCCCTAATAATTATTTAAAATTGTAATTAATAGCCAGATCTATTTAAGAACTAAGCATATCATAACAATATCACCATCTAATTATTAGCTTTCCCTCTCGCTCGA